TTAACCACATGTCTATAACCTATACACCATTTTGGACATGTAACAATCATGGGGACAGGGGAGGATTACTTGAATAAGGCTCCAGTAACTGGCAACCACCTAAATGAGAGAAAAATTAATGTTCCAACCTGCTGTGAGTGGTTCCACGAGGCCGATGGCAACTGTAAGGAAAATGATTGCTAAAGCCTCCATCACACAGGCCTACAGACCTGCTGGGAACCACCCATCACTTGAGAAAATTCACCAGCAAGTTGGCAAAAACCTCCTTGTGGTCGCTTTGGTTGTTAGAGTATTACTGTGGTCATAATTTGAATCCTAGTGACGGACTTGTCTCCAAACAACTTTCTGAGCTGGGGTTGCCTTCAAAGTTATACCTCTGCTCTGTAGCCAATTCTTTTTCAAAAGACATGAAACATGATAAACTGTAGGCAACTGTGACAATCCACTAGCAACCATAGTGATAATTAAAAGAATTTTGGTGCAGCACCTTCTTTGAAATCTGTTTGACCCAGCGATGGCCAGAAACCACCTCCAAGAGTCACTACCGACAAGTCAGGGAATACACTTTTTATACAATTTTTCCATAGCAACCGGTGGTGGTGCTACGTTCAATGTGGCGAAAAACTCTTGAGTCACATGAGAAACATAAACACAGTGAAGTACAGATGCACCTTGTTATCAAAGTTGGCTAGTTTTGCAAACTTTGAAACTCCCCTTGTGTACAAATATGGTGGTCACATCCAGTTTCAGAAAGGCCAAGATGGCTGCAATCATCAAATCAGTGGCTATATTCGTCTTTTAAAAACCATTTGATCTCATGAAAATGCAGCAGTGCCTTTGTCAGGCTTCACACTGACAGTTGATTCCCTCAGAGTTTTGTTTTGCTTTATCCCACTTTCCGCTTTTGCTTCCTACATCTGAAACAAGTGAATGAAAGTGAAACACCATGAAAATCTACAGTAAACAAGACAAGAAATTCTTGATAACCTTGGAACTGGATTTAACAGAGCTCTCAACGTTCCCCCCTTCTGCATACAACTTTGAAGTCTGAAACCGGCTTCTTTCAGTACTCTGTGGACCAGGTTTAGTGAAGTTTGCCTGCTACTGCATGTTGTTTTTAGAGGTTTGCTTCAGTGCCCAAAAAGAGCTGAGTCTGACCGCGCCTATCGGGTTTGGCATCCTGTTTTCCTCGATTCCCAGCGCTTTAGCGATCACCTTTTAATTCCAGCTCCTCTTTTTTTTTTACCGTTTAAGTTACATTGGGGATTTCTTTCGAGTGCCGGCTAACTGTTTTGACAGAAAACAGAATACAAACTGGTTAATGAAACTCGCTGCTTTGTTGAAACTGAAGATATGTAAGAAGAGACATGTGAGCCCTGTTATTATAACTGGTATTGATATATACGCATTTCACCTCTGCTCGATCACTGACATTCCCATCTGCATTCCAGTGTGTTGTATTACAGTGCATGTACACTGGCTTACAGTAGTTATTGGAGAGGAGTTTGCTGATATTGGAGGAAATTGCTTCTTTCCAAAGCATACTTGGAATTTAGTCTTGATTTCACTTGGATAGTTTTGCCCTAAGAGGAGAGGCTGCACCCTGTTTCAAAAGGTTCAAAACCCTTGGTTAAGTCTAAATCTCCAACTCCATACTTACCAGTATGTGGTTCACTGTGCTGAGTGTTTCTTGGATCACATAATAAAACTCCTGCGTCTCCTCCAAACCCAACATTGCTCTGCACTGCAGAAAACTGGACCCCATATTTTTAAAATTTTGTGCAGGAGATTCCATGGATGTTTTTAGTTAATGGAGCGCATTAGAGAAAATAACACAAGAGAAAAAAGAGAAAATGGTCAAATTAAAAGCAAATAGCTGTTTCACAAATGCTGCTGCAGACAAACCAAACAGGCAGCGCTGAGTGGTTAAGATCAATCATAGGAGTGAAGAACAGAAACACATATCTGGCTACATGTTGAGAAGAAAGAAAGAGGAGGGTGGATTTTTCTCTCCAGACTTGTCCACCTCCTACCCCCCTTTAAAACCAAGATTACCACTGAACATGCCTGAATCCTGTCCAAACCATGAGCTGTGACATCTGTCACTCTCTCTGTGAAAACATACATACATTCACTACGAGTCCTCAATATCTAGCAGCAGACTGTGTCCATGTCTGGAACCGACATGTTCGGTGTAACTACAGTGTGTCCCCACAGACCGGTCGGACACATGCGGTAGCCAGATGTTGACAGACTTGGCTCTCATATTGACCTTCAGAGCTCTGACTCCTCCTCTATATTTTCCTTTCCACCTACAGCATAATATATGTGTTTATATGTACTTTTAAAGTACAAAGCCTCTGCTGTGTCAGGAAGATTATTACTTCTAATACTTTGTCCTCCTTGTAAGCGCACATTATCTGTACAGAGGTCCAAAGAGTACAACACTAAGAAAAAAAATGCTTGACATAAATAAAAGCATTTAAATGGTTAAAAACACCACCACAACAAACTGATTGTGCCAGAAATGTTAATCCTGATTATTTTGTTTATTATTGAGGTCATGCTCATTTTTAGATGATTAATCATTAGTCAACTTTAGAAACATTCTGTTATTGAAGTGCCTTATACCACCACTAAATTTTAATTTTAGACCAAACTCCAACCAATCAAAAACCAAATATGTAGATGGGTGGTGGAGTGTTTTTGACCTTGAAGCTTACCTTGCAAGTGCACCTGCAGGGCACAGATGGAGGCCCAGGTGGCAGCAGGCTCACTTTCCTCACATGACCTCCACAGGAGCCACAGGGAGCACGACTAGGGTTTCCACTGGTTCACCTACAATGATTAGAGCTTTAGGGCCCTTAAATAAATCTGCTCATCAAAGGCTTTGTTTTTTCCCCAGAATGTCTTGGCTCAGTCTGAACTAAACGGTGAAGAAGTTTCAGCTTTCAAAGAGGGACAAAAGTGCACTGCTGTAAAGAAACAAAACATTGCATAACCACTGAATGAATGCAGCAGAGTCATCCTTTTAGCTGTATTATCTTGTTTCCGTTATTGCTGGAAGCAAAAATCATAACAAACTAAATTGTATTAATTACTCAGCCCCCACTCGCCCGCTTAAATGTCCTGGTAGAAGATGAGTTTACAAGTGTTTTGAGTGTCCTACAGAGAGCAGCACATGTGTAATACGAGGTCAAAGCCAAATTGGAATCAGAGTTTAAATTTTATAGGCGTGACTCTTTTGGATACAAGTCTGCAAATTGTAAAATGTGTCTAACGAGTTTCGTATAAGTGACAGTACATCTACCATATTTAGATCAGTCTGATGCATTATGCTATGGTAACACTAGAGAAAAGTAGTTGGAGGCCAAAATTACTGTGATTGTGTTCAAGATGTGGATCAGGTCTGTGATCGCTCAGGCAGTTGCCTTCCTCAAAGCTACTTTGGTTCATCGAGTTGGTAGAAAAACAGCAAAAAGATGGAGTCAGTTTGAAATCAGTTTGCACTTGAATTGGGTTCAGTTGGAAATATCTTTCAATCTGTTTGCAATAATACAGCAAATAACTGTTTATTTAGTGGTCAAACTGTTGCAACAAATTAATTCACATTAACAAGACAGAATCTCAAAGATTTGAAACAGAAAAATAGAAATTCCTCCAGAAACTGTGATGTTGTTGCTGCAGGATGATGTTTTAACTGCAAAATGATGTAGGCGCTCAGCACTTAAAAATGGTCGTGGCAGATGGCCCCACCCCCCCCGGAGCCTGGTTCTGCTGGAGGTTTCTTCCTGTGAAAAGAGAGTTTTTCCTTCCCATTGTGTCCAAGTGCTCATTGACGGTCATTTGATTGTCTGGGTTTTCTTTGTATTATTGAAGGGTCTGTACCTTACATTATAAAGCTCCTTGAGGCGACTGTTTTTTTTGTAATTTTTTGCTCTATAAATAAGGCTGAATTGAATTGAATTAATGGAAGGAAATTAAGTAAACTTTGAAAGTGTGTTGGGTATAAATTTTGAGCCTATTTTTCAATTTTGCTCTTTTACTTTGGATTTTTCTTCTTGTCCTTCCCTTTTTTTTCCTTATCTTTTAATTTGCTTGGGAATATTTGTTGCTGGTGTAGGAAAATGATCAAACCATCATTGCAGAGAGAAATGGACATAACACACACACACACACGCATACCCACTACCTTCTCCCGATTTTAAGAGCATCCACGCTCTATGTTTTGTCTCCTAGTGAAGCATTGAGTGTTGACTTAAAGTGCAGTTCTCATGATTTAGATGAATATGTGTCATTGGTTGTGTGTGTGCCTGTCAAAGTAAGGAATGTGTGCCTTTCTAACTGCATATTAACCTAACTAAAGCAACTTAAGAATGCATAATAGTACGCTGTAACTTTTCAACAGCTATGCAGAATGGCAGGGTAGTGAACTGCATAGAGAAAAGGATTCTGGGCTAATTTTGGGTTTCCGTGCCTGACTATTTTAGCCTCACGTTTGGCTCTCATGTTTTTTGGTGGAATCCAGTGAATCTCAGATTCATGAGGCTTGTACTACTGATGAAGTAAACTAATTGAACAGTGCTTTCCCTCCTCTGCCAGTTCATCATTAAACAGAGCAAAGCTGATGGTGTTGTGTTGCTACTCACTTGCACACTTCTCCTGAGGCATTTTTCTTATTTCTCAATGCTTCCAGCTTAATCTCCGACCTCAAACTGTTCATTAGACATCCGCCTGAGGCTTCACATCAGGTTAAAGGTCAGCTGTTTGTTGGTGAGATGAGAAGTTTTAGAAAACTGGAACCACTCACAATCTTTCGAGATATTCTATTGAAAGATAAAAGATAAATGTGGAGACTTCTGATATTAAGGCACTTTAAAGTTGAAAAATCAATTCCATTATCAGCACTCGCCTGATGTATGCACCTGACTTTCCTCCTCTGGCCAGCTGTGTTCTTCAGTTTCCTTTATTTGAATCTTTTTTTTCTCTCTCTTTTCTAGCAACGTTCACCAGGCAAAGTGCTGTTTGACCTGGTTTGTGCCCATCTCAACCTGGTTGAGGGAGACTATTTTGGACTGGAGTACCAGGACCAGCGGAAGATGACAGTAAGATGCACACATATTGCACCATGGAGTACCTTTAAGTACTTTTAGCTCATATCTGTTGTTTAAAACCATTTTTTATCTATGCTAACTAGGAAAATGTCTCAAATTAAAACTTCCTTCTCACTTGCCACAGGCTAACTTTAGCTTTAATCACATGGGTACACAGCGTGTGTGGTTGAGGTTGGGCTCAGTCATATAATAGAGGTGTTTGAGGTGCCTTAGGGAAACTCTGCAACAAACTTCGCATTCTGTGTTTCCCCCTTGGCGCTCTTTGGTTTGTCAAAGACAAATGTGGAAGAAAGTCATGCTCTTCATTTTTATGTTAACAAACACTTGGGAAAGCTTTATCACACTGGCGTGTGTGTGTGTGTGTGTGTGTGTGTGTGTGTGTGTGTGTGTGTGTAGGCTGAGGACATGGTGAAACAGAGAGCAGGGGAGAGAAACTTCACAAATAAATAAAATATTTTTCTTTTTCTGTAACCACTCTTGTGTGAGAAGTGTTTCAGATATAAATGACCTGGATTTAGGTTTTCTATGCTCCAAAAAGCAGCAGCTCGCTGTATAGTGTTTTGTAGACTTGCTGTATGTTACTGGGGCTGTCTATAGTTTTAATCGTTTTGTTTACTTCACTTTCTATTAATGCAATTAATTAAATTTAAAAAAACTTGTAATAAAGAAGAATTTTGCTGCAAGACAACAGTAAGCCTGTAACTCAGAGATGGACTGATCCATTCTGTCGAAACACATGAACACAAGCTCTTTAATGTATCTAAACACAGGCAGTCGCTGTGCTTACCAGTGCCTCGGGCATGAGAGCTGTTGTTTTGAAGTGGATCAGTGGAACAAATGATGTAATGCTGAAGAAATGGTTACAACTTTGTCAAGACAAATACTCAGAAAGCAGACCCACATGCACATAACAAATGAGGCTGTCCGTCAAGCAGATCGCCCGCATTGAAACATCGCTATATATCAAAGACATTCACACTGAATCTGCTTACAATGTAGCCATCATAACACTGCCATCATATTCAACAGTATCTTTTGTGCTAATACAGTTCTGAGCTTCAGCTACTGCTAAACCCCAAATAAGGACTTTTTTGGGTATTTTCACTTTCCTTTCTCTTGGCATTTGTTATAGAAATATAAAAGACTGGTTTCACCCAGTATCTGTGAGCTCCTCCTACACCATCGGGAGTTGAGCAGCCAAAACTGGCACACAGGTACATCTTAGACCCCTGAAAGTTCTTATCTATATCATTACATAATAACGTAATCTTGTTGCCTGGTAACCACCTATGATCAGGTCAAGATGACCCGTTTGTAGCATTTAGGCACCGTAACACCTTGGATAAGCATCACATTATTTTAATTTCACAACAGTGATATGTAAGTTATATCCACAAAAAATGCTTTGGTGACAATGTTTTGCTAAGTTTGTGCATTTGTAGCATTTCTGCAGAAGTATGTGCCTTGCAAAAGCATCATATCATTTCAGCAACATCTCAATTATTTCCACAAACCTTGAATTATGTATGATATATGATAACATGTCATGTTGCCTGGCAGCCACCTAACAGTGCACTAAAGTCACAGACCAAACATTACTGTAGCATGAGCATGGACCAGTCATTTAGTAAATGCACATTAAAAAATGTCCAAAGCAAATGTGCAGTGCTTTTTTTAAACAGGAGAAGAATGAATATATGTTATTTTAATTAATTTAATTGATATAATAGTTTTAACGTATTTTCTTTGAAAGAAATTCTGCTTTTCCTTCCATTAACAAATTATAGCTGAAAATAGCTCTCTTTTTAGTAAGTGTCCAGCAGATTTGGGAATTATTATGAACTGTGGACCCATGAACTGAACCGTTTGAAGGAAAATAAATGAGATAAAATAAATAGATACAGGAGTTTAAAGGTTAGTAATTATCAGGTGGTGTCTGCTACACGTAGGACCTCAGGTTTCACTAAAGTCTTTAATATTTCCAGTGAAATGATCTCTTTTCTCACAGCTGGAACAAACATGCACATTAGTTGAAAATGAATCATTTTTGTAGCTAGAGATGAAAATCAGGTATCTGTCTTTAAGACACTAATGAAAGTAAAGCTGTTCCCTGATGCCCGCAGGTGTGGCTGGATCTTTTGAAGCCGACACTGAAGCAGATCAGACGTAAGTCACTCTCAGATCCCATCCCGTCTTTCATCCTTCAAACGCCTCTGTGCTTCAAACTAAAACACAAATCCAAACTCTTCTTAACTCAGACATTAGACACTCCCACTAATAGTAGTAAACGGATATTTCCTCTGCAGCCTTTCTGCATCTCTCCACTCTGTCTCGTTCTTCCTAACCACATCCCGTTATTTCCCTCCTCCAGGGCCTAAAAACACCATCCTTCGTTTTGTGGTGAAGTTCTTCCCTCCTGACCACACGCAGCTCATGGAGGAGCTGACTCGGTAGGTCTTCCCCGCACAGAAACCACACCTATCTGAAGAAGAAGCTCCCAAATTAAAAGACATGCTGTTCAGCATTTGGTTTCCTGTCTGGTCAGCGTGATTTCAGTCCTTCACCAGGAATTCTTAAGAACAATTTATGATTTACAGCTGCATCCAAACATGAGGCAGAAGTCTTGTATATTTCTTGTTGTCTGCCTGTTGTTGTTTTTGGTCAGACCCTTAGCATTTATAACACATTTATATGCCTGACATCAAATAAGCCGTTTTGTCTTTTCTGGACCCAAACATATTTTTGTCATCTGGGAACAAGGCTCAATAAACCTTCTGGTATTCCAAGCCAGCTGAAAGGAAGTGAAAGAAGATGAATGGTCTGACCACTTCTGGCCTTTTAATCATAGTTTAACCCTGGAAGATCCATTTTTATCTGGAAAACCAATCTCTTTTTTTTGGTCCTGATTCCCACCTATTCCCTCTGTCCTTTGTTTAAAAAGTGTAGCGTTATCTGCAGACCATCAAGTCCACCTTCTTGTTTAGTTTAGTGTGACGGAGCCTAGCGGGACCCTTCTGGACTGTTTCTGTTTGTCGGAGCTGATTTAGGACACACGCTACAGCAGAAATTCTCGGTCACTTGGCTAAAACATAAATAGGACAATTATCTGACCTTCCACATTTTTCCCATGGTGCTGACACTCCTACAGTCACCCAGCTGGGCTCAACCCTCTCGAGGCAGGCGTTGCCGATTTGCAACAGTTAAAAACTAACAACCTGATTACCCCACATACATATTTTATGAGGTTTTTTTACTCAGAAGTACCACTGCAGGACTTGGTTGTGCATTAGCAACAAAAAGTTTAATTTGAGCCTGAGAGGGTTAATTTGAGATGATGGCAAATCAGGAAGCACTAAAGTTACCTGTAGAAATAAAGTTATAGTTATACCCACTGTAGTGAAATCCTACATCTTACTATTGATTCCTGTCACCAGCTCACTGTAGATAAAAGTAGGAGAGATTATTCCACTGACCTCATATCATCTCTGATTGTGTCAGTGGACGAACATGAAGTAGACACATAGTTGTTTCTTTTCCCCTTTTGTTTGGCTCCCACAGTGTTGCCGCTGTCAGTGTTTCCTTTGATGAGTAATGTAAGCACAGATGGAAGAAAGGCTTCCTTGTGTGTATATCAAGCTGTTAACCTCCTATTAGCTGCTGATTACTGAATCTTCACCCCCAACCGGTTGTGTGACATTTATGTTTTTGGTGCTGTATAAACCAGAGCACTCGAGAGAGCATATCAACAACAACAAAAGCTTTGACCTTGGGTGCTAACAAAAAGGTCAAGGTCTAATGCTTAGTCAACCTTGGTCATCATGACCCCTGAAGCCTTGTGTATTCTTGTGAAGTTTGAAGACAATCCATGGAAAGATTGTGGGTAGTATAAAGTTTTAACTTATCCAGTAGTTACTAGTACCTACCATCACAAGTGATCTGCTCGTGATGGTAGGTACTAGTAAAACGTATGACGCCTTTTGTATGGCCTGCTTTAACAACGTGCTAACCTTATTTACAATCAATATTGTATGGATGTAATAATGGTGCTAAAGATACAGAGGGCTGTACCTTATGTACCTTCTCTCTTCAGGGGGTGAGAATAAAATTGAATTGAAATCAGAAATGGGATCTGCTCCCAATAACAGTGCTACTCCAGTATGGTCAAGGCCGCTGGATTGACCTGATGTTTTTCAGTCTAAATAAGTGCAGCTTTCTTGTGTAATAACATTCTGCACTGAAAGCCTCATTAACTTTGCTAGCGAGGTAATCACGCAGCAAAACAGTTGAATTGGATTTTACATTAAAAGGTGCCTCAGATCATTGATCACACTCTCACATGGATTCACTCTGAATGCAGTCAACTGTTTGCCCACATACAGTGAATAGAAAGGCAGCGAATCAGGTTTAAAGGTTGTGGGACATGAACATGCGGACCTTGAATACTTTTTCCGGTGATGCCGTTTACATTGAATTCTGGCGTGCTCCTACAGGGTGATGTTGCCTACAGGCTTTTTTCCTTTTATTAAGCCTCCCACTGTCGTTGTTGGGCTTTCTTAATTAAAATGTGACATCACAGCCCGGCAGCATGTGCATACACGGGTGCACATGCTTGTGTCTGTGACTCTCATTAAGCCCTCATCATGGCGTAAGTAGCCGCCTGTATAATGATTAACAAAACCCGCAATTAGGGTCAGTTTAAAGGCAGTAGATGCAAAGCAGCGGGCATACACAGGGTTTCTCTCTAAATGCCATCACTTTAATGGTTATGAGATTGGCTCTAACATTGTAAGTTGCTGCGTTTATGGAGTGTGCATTAACCCCTGTAACCCTTCCCCAAACTTCTGTTTTTCATCTTCCTTTTCCTCCATCCCCACAATCTCTTTATTTTTTTGTTTGTTTGTTTATTTTTCCTCCAGGTATCTGTTTGCCCTACAGATTAAACGCGACCTGGCCTGTGGTCGTCTGATCTGCAACGACACGAGCGCCGCTCTCATGGTCTCCCACATTATTCAGTGTGAGTTTTAACACGAAAAGTATTCAAGAATCTGATGTTTGGAAGGCGCTGAAGCACACAAATGAGTCCCTTTTTAGATGATTTTGACATGCTGTGAATGTCATCAAATCATAACAGCAGTCGATGACTGGAAAACAATTAATTAAAATATGCAGAGGTTGTTGAGGTTCCTTTTTGCCTTCACAGTTCAGGGTAATCATTAATAATCACAGCAACTGTATTGATTCGTATAACTTTAATTTTTAATTTGCATCAGTGTAGAGGGGGGGAAAGAAGAAATTAAAATCCATGCTTTGCAAAAAGCATGTATGCAAATTAAACGGGAATAAATTAAACTTGAGCCTGAACGTAATTTGATGTCTGAGAGCTGTCGGACCGAATAAAAAGGCAGAAACCTGCACACTGGTTACTTGACAGCACGGTGGCACGGTGGTTAGCACTGTTGCCGCACAGCAAGAAGGTCCTGAGTTCAATTCCACCATCAGGCCGAGGTCTTTCTGTGTGGAGTTTGCATGTTCTCCCCGTGTTTGCGTGGGTTCCCTCCGGTTACTCTGGCTTCCTCCCACCGTCCAAAGACATGCAGCTTGTGGGGATAGGTTAATTGGATAATCCAAATTGTCACTAGGTATGAATGTGAGTGCGACTGGTTGTCTGTCCCTGTGTGTTGGCCCTGCGACAGACTGGCGACCTGTCCAGGGTGTACCCTGCCTCTCGCCCTATGACAGCTGGGATAGGCTCCAGTGCCCCCCGTGACCCTGAAAAGGATAAGTGGAAGCCAATCGATGGATGGTTACTTGGGTTATTCATTAACGCTTTAGCAGCAAAGTGGGTGGAAGTGATGAAGCCTTTCAAGGCAGGAAAGAGCACTCTTGTTACTCACAGCTTCCTTTCGTTCATCACATGACAGATGCCAGGCTAAAGGCCATTGTGCCACCCAGTAAATGCCTTTCATGTTGAGAGGTGTTGGATTCTTCACCGTCTCTGAAGTCATCAGCTATCCTTTGGTGCCTCCAGGACAACTGCTGATATTTTGGGGCTTTCGCTGTCATCTGTCAATGAGTACACATTGACAGTCTGCTCATCATCAGACAGTAGCTGACTGCATTTCACCAGATATGGCCCCTCTTGCTTGCTTAAATCTGAGGGGTCAGTTGCCTGCAGATACTGCATATTCATATGCAGATAGCTTTTAATAGTTACTAAAATTTCCTTGTCTGAAAAGATCTTTGGCCTCTGTGAAGGTTCTATTATAATGTAAATGCTTTGCTTATGTAGATGACTGACTGTAAATCAACAGATTCATTACAGAGATTCCCTGTGGGGGTAATTTCAGCACCACTTACTGTGTTTTATACCAAGTAAATGACAACGAACATAAATACAAAACAGCCTCCTTCAACACTTACAGTAATACCAACGGGAACCACCATAGCATTACAATCTCAATCACCTCTCATTTATAATTGTAAGCGTTATAGTTGAATGAAGTGTGAGCATGTGGTCGTCTACAGGATGCAGACTTTATGGTCGCGATTCGTCACAACGAGCGTTGTACCTCAGCTCTGTAAATGGAGGATATAGGATCTTGACTCCGTCTCAGATGCTGCTAAGGTACAGCGCTGTATACTGAAGGATATTGCTCAGTTGTCATAGCAACTGTCAGTGCTCAGCCCGTATGTGCACCTGCAGGCAGTACAGTATATGGGGGTGCTGCTGGTATAAAACAGATGGGGACGCATGCATCAGCACACTTCATCTACAACAGAGTGGCCAAGGTTGGTTTGTGGATGAGGAAAAGGCCTTTTAACTCTTTTTTTTCCTCAACACTCTGCATCTTTATTTTAATCAGCTCCTAACCTTCCTCGTCCTCACTTTAAATAAATATCCATTTTCTTTTCCCTCCACCAGCTGAGATCGGAGACTTCGATGAGACCCAGAGCTGGCAGCACCTCCTTCACAATAAGTATCTGCCCGACCAAGACGCCATTAGAGACGAGATCATAGACTGCCACCGCGAGCATGTGTGAGTTATCTCGTGTGCAAGTCCACACATGGATTGCTTATTAGATGTGGGTTCCAGTGAATTCAGGGTTTTCTCTATGCTTTGTGGGAATCAGCATGGGTTTAATCTGCACAGTGTCAAAAAAATGGCAACCAATGTAAGTTTTCAGCCCCTCCCAGTAACTTGAATGGGATTCAAACCCCACTCTCCCATGTGGAAGTCGTGTACACACCCGGCTACTCTACCATGTCTTACTAACTTCATAGCCTTCATGCTCTCTTACTCTATACTTTGCCGGCCTGAGATGTGGGGCAGTAACAATAAAAGTGCCCAAGTTAAATAAGGAGACTAAGAAGAAAAAACAAAACAAAACAGTTATTATCAATAAAATGAAAGCAGGCAGAACACCTGCTGTTACCATCAAAAACAAGGAAATATGGGTTAAAACAACTAAAGAGTAACCTGATTGCTGATTGGAGTAGACTATTAGGAGTAGTATCTAAGTCAGGAGAGAGAGCATGAGGCTCAGACGGGGCCCTGCAAGTTCAGCATCCCCAGGGTATCTTCCTGTAATACATCTTCACTTATCAGCAATCAGGTTAAGCAGTCACACAGAAGTGGTTATCAGATGGATAAGCAGATAACACAGGGGTTCGTCATTTAAGCCGGTCACATTAAAGTGCATTGGCAGCATTTGACAAATTGCAAGCATGCGTCTGAGAGCAACCTAATTTAAATACAATTTTAAAAAGCAAATTCAACCATATGTGTATAGACTGCACGCTAATTTGATATAGTGTCTATTACTACAAACACATGGCCTGTTTTAGGATCGGATATTAACACACTATTAGTATTAGACCCTAAAATTATTGTAAGTTGAAATTAAATAAAGTTGCATCAGGAAAACACAAACACATGGAAAAACCTTAGACCCTCCTACTGTCCTTTCACAGCTCTGAGAGATTTTCCAGGAAGTGATGCTGTTTTCCAGAGAATTGATTAGTCAGTAGGCAGTGATGTCATGCCTGATGAGCTCTTATCTGGAACATAACCTGTTTCTGAGCTGGTTAATTTTCAGGTTTGCCTTTAGGTCATCTAAAAAACAATCAAGTCTCCTTATGAATCAATTATTTTACTAGAAGATCAAACTACTTGAGTAACAAAATTCTGGCAAATAATGGTTATCATGATCCTTAATGTTTCTTCCTCTCTTCACGTTTCCCTTTCCCACCGGATCATGATTGACTTCCAACATAGCTGCATTATCTGAAATTAATATATAGGATTTAAAATCTGATCAGCTTTGGTGGATTAAGTGAACACAGTTCTGTGTATACATGATTCATGGGGGGAGGAAGCCTTTAGTAATCACAAACATAAACTCCACCAGTTTCACAGTATGTTAGCATGAATGTCAAGAGGTTATTAACAATTCAGGTCATTCTAACAGTACCAAAGCAGCACTGTTTACCTGCAAACAGCAAGATTATCCCTGCTTAGAAAACAATACTGAGCTGAGGTACAGATCAGTTTCTAGGTGGCAAGCTCAGAGGTGTCAGGAGAGATATGTTTGTCATATATAAACACACACCAAGCTCGCATAATTCCAGTCTGCAATGCAAAGATATTTATCTGTTTATTCAAATATACACCCCCCAAACACACACCCATAAGTCTCCCTCCTGCAGAGAGGTTTATCTTCTAACCACAACAGCCAGCACACACTCACATTCACACACTTCTAAATCTCTCCCCTGCAGAGCTGGCTATCTGCAAACATACCACTTGGCACTCCTACTGTGCCCCTGGGACCACACACACAGACACACACACATCATGTATTTCATTTCCATGCTGCTGGCAGCAAATAAATAAATGAGATTCTTTTCTGGACATGCAAAACCCTCCCTTAACCACCAATAATGTATGAAGCGCCTTGAGGCGACTTTTGTTGTGATTTGGCGCTATATAAATAAAATTGAATTGAATTGAATAAGAGCTGAAAAACAAACTTGTTGATCATCAGTCACCGTCACACCGTGCACCGCACACCCGTTCTCCCCTCACCCTCCTCTCCGCCTTGCCTCCCTTCAATCCTTCACCCTCCCCTTAGCCGACACAGGAAGGAAATGGCCAATTCAGCCGCTTATACAGGAAACAGGAAGCTATTTTCAGATTTTGTGAGGAAACAAACTTTGTGTGGCTTTTGTGGCTGATTTCTTCCTCCCCGCTGTGGGTGCCGCAGTGTATTTTAAGGCTGACCCATGTTTTTAAATTCTCAGTATACCCCTGAGATGCACAGTTTAAGCTGTGACTCATTACCTCTTGGTTAGAGGAATTGATTTTCTTACACACTGAGAGCAAGTCTTGAACACTAACTAAGATGAATGGCTTAAATGAGCTGCTGATTGATTGCTGATAGTTTGATGCATCTCTCTTCTCCACAGCGGGCAGACGCCGGCAGAGTCGGACTATCAGCTGCTTGAAATCGCACGGCGGTTAGAGATGTATGGTGTTCGCTTACACCCGGCGAAGGACCGCGAGGGTACTAAACTCAGCCTGGCTGTAGCAAACAGTGGGGTACTGGTTTTCCAGGTAAAATCTTCAAGAAGTAGGGGCCATAAAAGGTTTTTGGGGCTTGGGTGGGGCAGTTGGCTAAAAATTGATATTTTCTAGGTGAACACCAACGGTTTTTCGACACACATTAACAAGGCTGACAAATATGTTTTGTATGAGTTGTAAATGCTTTAGATATTTTATAGAAGAAAGAAGGAAGGGAGTCTTAGTCTTAGTATCATAGTATCCTCAACTCAAGGTGGAAGGTTTTCTCCACTGACAACACCGAGATATTTGGCACAGCAATTAACAGATGGTGGTTGCTGCTGCTCGGCTGCAGTTCAGGCAGTTTTTTTAATGGTGCTCTGACCTGACACTCTCAAACATAACACACAAAACATGCCATAGAACAGTGGATGCACTCTCTTTTGACCAGGCTGACCCCAATTAAGTCCAGTCTGCGCTGTTTCACTGCCCTGATTTTTTTTTTTGCCACATCTTCAAAGAGTGCTGAGATCTTTTAAAATTTAGCTGATATGACAAATCGATTAATTGGTTCCTAACGTTTTGTGGTAAGCCTCCACCCAACTCATCCGGTAAGGAATGTACCGCCTGGTAGTTTTGGGTTTGTTTTCGATTTTGCTTGTGCTGTCTTAACTGACTCTGATTTTTCTGTATTCAGGGGAACACAAAAATTAACTCTTTCAACTGGTCCAAGATCCGTAAACTCAGCTTCAAACGTAAAAGGTTCCTAATCAAGCTTAGAGCCGACCCCACTGTAAGTTCATGCGACGTTTCCTTTCTTTTCTTGCCTCGCCTTTTCTCCTTCTGCTTTCTGTGCTTATATTTGTTGCCGTATCCTCCCAGCAGAATGCCCACCATGACACGCTGGAGTTTGCCATGGCCAGCAGGGACTGCTGTAAGGTTTTCTGGAAGATCTGTGTCGAGTACCATGCCTTCTTCAGACTCTTTGAGGAGCCCAAACCAAAACCCAAGCCCATCCTCTTCACCCGAGGATCCTCATTCCGGTTCAGGTAAGAAGAGGAAAGAAAAAAGAGACTGAAAGTGAACTCCTCTTTTTAAAATATTTTGGTTTCGTATCAACTGGTCTTCTTTCCGTGTCCTCTACCTGCAGTGGTCGAACCCAGAAGCAAATCATTGATTACGTTAAAGACTCCGAGCCCAAGAAAGTTCCATTTGAAAGGTGTAGTGTTCCTCCTTCGTTTTACCAAGACTGAGCCAAGCTACTGAAGTTAAATGTAATCAAATTTCTCGGTCGCTGATTAGTCGTATATGGTATAATCTCATCTGTTTCCCTGCTTTTTTTTTTTTTCAGGAAGCACAGTAAGATCCTGTCCAACAGCAGCATATCCCCTCAGTCTGCCTCCACAAGATCACATGTGCCAAAAGAGGTAATGCGAGCTTAAAACTTTTCTAGAAACCCATTATTAATGACACCCACAACCATTAGCAGGTTAGTGTTTATGCAAAAAAGCATGAGCCAAAACTGCGCATACAAAACTACACTGCACTGTTATATTGTGCTATTGCATGCACAATATCTCCAGGATGTTTCGTCTGAGATCGGAGGTCAAAATTAGGCACGTATAGTTGAGGCAGTTAGTCTTTGTTGCATTACTTGAAAAACATGTTTGCGTTTTTATATCAATTTCTGGCCTTTGACAAAGTAGTGTATTCTATGCTTGAATTAGGTTGTTTTTTGGTTTTTTTTTTAATTTGGCAGTCCTGGTATTTTTACTTTAGTGTAAGATCAGAAACTCTTTGGGAAGCCAAGCTGAACAATACCCACATGCTTCCTGTTGGCTAACATTGCTTTACCTGGTAACAAAGCTATTTCCCAAAGCTTAGCTAGCGGGCTAACTTTAGCTTGCTTGGTGTTGGAGTTCTGTTTGTGTTAGGAGCTGGTCGTTACTGATGAGAAAGTAGCAGTATGTTATAAAAAGTATAAAATAACTGCTTACCGTTTTAGTTTAACAATAACTAAAGTAACTAAACCTTGTAACTCTTCAGGAACTGCACAATACTGTCACATAATTAAACTGACAAATATTTTATTTTCTGCCTGGGATGTTGTATCTTTGGCCAAGCTTTTTAATCAGCTGCTTAAAGCCCTGCTTTTCCAACACATAACCCCCACCGTAAAATCCATGGGTGCTTGGAGTTATTGGTTGGCATTACGTTCACACTTCATGCTGCTAGCATATCCTGCTATCTTTTCCTCAATGAGCAATATGAGTTTCTTTTACACTTTCAGCAGGAATAGTTTTCTTGCATATCAAAGTACTGTGTTTTGTGAGAGGTTGTTGAAGTAGCTCCGTATTTAGGTACTAAATCAACATTGGGGGCTGACATTGGCTCTCACTCTTAGACATGCTCAGGCTTGTCTTGTCTGAATTATCCTTCAGTCTATGCCATAACCTGATGGGCACCTCCTGAGAAATCTAACTACATGTCAGGTTAACTCAACCCACAAGTGTTTTGAATTAATCAGTGAGAGAATAACAATCATTGCCTCAGTATAAAGAATAATAGTCATAGCGTAAATGTATGGACTCAGAAATGTCAACTACCAAAATAGTGTGAGGGAAAGTACAGTAGAAAACCAGAGGGAGAAATATGTTTACCTTTACTTGGAACTGCATTAGAAAACGCCGAAACACAACCACACGATAATTAACAAGCTTTTTTTTTCTTCTTCTTTTTTTAAAAATCACTCCTCAGCATCTTTGTTTACATCTGGAGCTGTGATTACAAAGCTTGTGTACCCATGCCGTTCCAGGGAGTGAAAATGTGTAACTGAGTGCTTGCTCTAAGGCTGTCCCTGTAATAGAGCCCAAATAAATAACAGTTTTATCCTTTATTATTCCCCCCTTTTAACCTTTCATTCCATCTTCACTCCATGTTCTGTCTTTTCTCCCCTCTTGTTATTTGCAGAGTGCCACGTCGATCCCGTTAGCAGACCAGCCTGACTCAGACAGATTGAGCCATCTGGCTGTACCTAATGGTTCGGAGGAGCCACAGGCGGTCATGCCCCCCACCAACGTTCTTCATGGCCTAACGGCAGCGCCTGGCTCAGACCCGACTCAGCCCCGACAGAACCACCACGTTGCGGGATCAGTACTGGACCAGCAGCTCCTCAACCCAGGTCCATCCTGCAGGGCAAACAAAGGCAGCAGCTCTTCTATTCCTTACATAGACTGCAGCGACATAGACAGTGAATGTGATGTGACAAAGAACAACAGGGCTACCCGGGGTCACAGCAATGCAAATGACAGCAATGAGGATGAGCCTTGTGCTTATAGTAGGCACTTGGGTAGTCCTGGTCGAAATGGGGGGCAAGCTGGGAGGCTGTTTGGGGCTGTTAATGGGTTCTATCACACCAATCACCAAGGGCTGATGCAGCAGGGTATGGTGGGGAAGCAGCAGCAAAGCATGCAGGGTAACAGGAACACTGTAAATCAGTCTCCTGTGTGTAACAAGTTTAATGTGAGTCACGAGCTAACAGATGAGGACGTTTTGACAAATGGGCGTCTCCCGCTCCACAGCACGCTGTTAGATGAGATCTTTCAGGGGCGAGACAAGCGAGGTGCAGTGTTGGGTCGTCCATTAGGAACCGGGACACGCAGTCAGTGCTCCAGCCCGGTGATCAGCAGCTTCCATCACCGCACAAACTCACTCAGTCACTCAGAGATGACAAACGGTCACAGTCAGCCACGTTCAGCTTCGCGGTGGGATGACGGCGGGCATTATTTCAGTAAACGTCCTGGAGCGCTCCCTGTGGAGACTCCCACGGTCCCGCCATCATCCCATCCACAAAACCACTATGGCAGCTACTCCCCGATCGCCTCAAACCGCACTTCGCCAAATCTGGCTAAACCGTACTACAACAACAATAACATGAGGAACCGCTCTGACACTGACCCGTTCATTCTCAGCCAGCTGACATCGACACCCATCAACCACCGCAATCGCTCTGGGCTGCACGCCAAAACTCCTGGCTCTGCCCCACTGGAGCGTAGAATGATGATGACCAACGGCAATGACAGGAACCTCCTGGTTCCTGGTCAGCCACGGTCCAATACGGTGCAGCGGATGTTCGGGCGTCAGGGAAAGCCCGGCAGCAGCCCGTCTAATAACAAATACAACACTCTAAACCAGCCGGTCCAAATGATCGACGGGTCTACTAGCAGCGGCACAGACACCAGCGACACAGAGTCAGACACGGGCAGCAGTGCGTACAGCCAGCCCTTAATGTACGGCAACCCGGCCGCCGTCAGCTCCATGATTTCGGTTAACTCAAACGGCACATCCCCGCTCTCTCACAACAAGTTCTCTTTCGGGAGTTTGCAGTTGGAGGAGGGTGGCGACGGTGTGGAGGAAGAGGAAGGGTGTTACCGCTTTAATGAGGAAGACATAGGCGGTCGGGTTTTTAGCTGTTGAGCGAGCATGAGTGGGCAAAAGGAAAAAAACAACGTGTTAATTTAGTGTGTTACAGATAAACAGATGTTTAAAGTCGTCTTTTTCTTCTTAGAGACAGCTTTGTCTTCCTGCTACACTGACGAGCACCGAAATAGAAGGAAAACACTATGGTTGATTGCGGTGCTTTTACACATTTTATAGTCAAGCACGCTTTACGCACAGGGTCTAACGTATTTTCTGGAGCGTAAACATAGGGCAAGATGTGTGTTTTCTAATGGCGAAGTGAATCTTTAATAACATCTGTTTTTTCTAAACTCCTTTTTTAAAATTACGTATGCAGATTTCTTAGTAAGCTGCTAGCTGACACTTTTGTGAGCCAGCCAGCTCTTTGTATAAAAAGAAAGGTAAAATAATGAGCATACATTTGGTAAAAGCTTCCTCACAACGTGCCATAACTCAGAAACGTTTATATTCACTGTAGTTGAATGTGCAGAAGGAAATGTTTCATAGAAAGTTAGAGGAAAACCTTGACGTTTTCAAAAAATTCTTGTTCACTTCACACTTTACTTGTTAGCATTTGCCACATTGTTGAGAATTAAGACATTTTTTTCTTATTTGTGGGACATTAAGGTGTAGAAGTGTGTGAAGAGTTTTTTTCTTTTTGGTAGTAAATGTGATACTTGATTGGACTTTCTAAAAGCTGTCAAGCTCAGCAGATTTTCTGCCTTTCTGTGGCATTATACACCCATTTTGTAGTTATAGTGTAGCTTTTTTCTCTAAATCAGACTGTCTGGTGCAATAGATGGACTTTGAGGTAATAGCTGAAGTTCATAAATGGATTTGATAGGATGCTAGGAGGGGAGACTTCTGTACAGTTGGTCTGATCCCCTTTAACTGTACAGTGTATTTGATTTAGTTAGTAGATTGAATTGTACTTGGAGTGTTACACTTTGGGAAAAGTGTGTTTTCTATGTGAGTTACTGGGATCTGCCAGAGGAGGAAAATAGCCGACTGCTGTTGTTCCTGTCTTCTGAGCAATTTTTCATGCATTCAGTTCATTTGTCTGTCTGTCGTGGGTGATCTGCATGGTATTCTGGATATTTGCGGTCATGACTTTTTGTATTTAGACCAATTGAAGTAGTTTTGCATCAATTTTAGGGAAACCCTAATCTTTTATATCTGTGTTTTCTAGCTGAAGCTCCATTTGTCTCTACATTTCAACACTTATGCTACTTCAGCTGGCTGGTGATGGGTTTAGGGGGATTTCTTCAGCCTTTATTTCTTTCTATGGTTATGCTTTCTCTTTCTGTCACGGTTTATATGCACATAATCAGCGGTAATCAAACACACCGACCGCCATCCTCGTCCTGCTTTGCTCGGCTTGGCTCCAGGCATGCGCTGCAACCACAAACAGAGGTAACCCTGTTATCTTTCACCTCTCTGGATGCTGTTTTCTGCTGTTGAAGGCTTCCCATCTCCATCTCTGTCATTGGCTGCTCCACTACAGCACGCTGAATTGGATCAAACTGAAGTGAATTAAAGTGTGGGCTTCTCTTGAGACATGCAGGAAATGTTTGAATGTCCCATAAACTAAATCAGTACAAAAATAAGCCAACCTGTTGAGTATCAGTTGAAATTACTTTAAAGATCAACACAAGGAGCTTTTGTTTAGATGTCATGTTTCAGCACTGTCATCCAGATGGACTGAGTAAGCAAAAATTGCATTAAATGGTATTAAGTCAGTGTCTTAGCTTGCTCATTCTCATTCTGGTTTGGTTCTTCTTGCATCTTACAGTCTTTTTGCACCTAAATTGTAGCACAACAAACGCAAAAACAAACAGTACTGTTGGTAGATTCAGTTTCAGGAAGCTGAACTGTTTTGCTGATATCGGGGGTTCAAGTTACAAGGTGGCTTAATTTGGACTGAATGTCGTCAAGATTCTATCAGCTTCCAAGGTTGAATGACCTTTTGTTTCCTGCTGCCTCTACCTGAATCAAATGTTCATGATTCACTCTTTGTAAATGTTTGTTTTTAAGCATGTTCTCGCTTCTTTTTTTTGTTGTTATTTCAAGGGTTTGAAAAAAAGTCTTTCAGCACTGTTTTCTCACCATTTCACTTTCTGTACTGTAAATGCATGTTAACCAGGTGAAGGATGTTGCTGCTCTCTGTCACTCAACTCTGTTTTTGCTCCCTCTGTCACGCTGTGTTTCTGTCATGGGGCTTAAACTGGAACCAGATGTGTGAGGGTGCAGTTTAACACAATCCTAACAACAACCCTATAGCTTTGCAGGCTTCTCGACTCAGATACTTCTTACTGCAGTTTATAGCCCTTTTTTGTTGTTGTTATTGTTGTTGTTGTTGTTGCTCCTTGCTCATGATTTCTCAACTGCACTGTTTTGTTTTTAAATATTTAGAAACCATTCGTACCCATTGCGGTTTCCTCACCAAGCATGAGGACAAAACAAGGCTGACTCAACTCCAGTGCTCTTTTAACGGAGACTGAGAGGGCGAAGGTAGACAGACACAAGTAACGTTCAGCTTAAAGCATAATGCAAGTGCAAGTGCAAAAATAAAGATATCTTTGAGAGATATTGGCATTTTATTTTTTAAGGTATGAAAGTCAGAGTATTGTGAGAAGTTATTCACATGCATACACTGGAATACTGGGGTTGAGTCCAGCTTGTCTTTAGTCTCGCTGCCTGTCAACAAGTAGCACTTGAAGCCAGTCACTTCCACTGAAGCTTGTTTTTGTAGTTTTAATATAAAGTAGATGCAGTAAAAGACTGATTGATTTATATTTTGTTTATTTATGGAATTAATTGCAGCCAAATTTGGTTAATTTGACTGATTAATTTAAAATGAAAGGTAAACTACCTTGTAGCTTTTTTTGGCGATTATATATACATATATATACACACTGTGATGATATCAGGTTGCATCACGAAATAGTTTGAAACTTTTGGAAATATTTGATGTCTTTCTGAAAGCTAAAGATTTATATACGTTGAAAATATGAAGCTACAGCCAGTGGCAAGTTAGCTTAGCTTAGCAAAAAACATACCCCATATCTCTGTCTAAAAGTGACAAAGTCCACTTGTTAGCAACTGTAAAGTTTAGAAAATAACTTGACAGGTTTTGTAGGGATTTTCTCACTTGTTGCTAACTAAGCTAAGCTAACTTAAGCTGAGTTCATAGTCAGTCTTCTTATTTAAGTCTGAGCAAGAAAGCAACCATATTTTCAAAGTGTTTCTTAAATTTAGATTATTAAAATGGTATACAAGGGTACTGCTGCGTCACTTGATCCTTTAATCTTTTTCTTTTTACATGATTTTTTTAAAAGGTGTAAACCACTTGTTTGCTGTTCTTTTAAAGTTAAAGTGGAGACCTTGGTGGCAGTTGGGGTTTGCATGTTTTCTATTAATTTGTTCATTTTAATGACTGTAGCATGCTTTGAAATTATAAATACTGAACATGCATCCATTCTAGTCAAAGATCTGCACAAGCATCTTTACAAATTAACATGCTGATTTTGAATGGACTAAAGCTGCATTGACTCACTGTTTTTTCTGTCTCTGCTGTAACACTTTGTATTCCTCCACACCTGTCCTTTTTTTTTTTTTTTTTTAATTTTCATCACTAAGCACCTTCTGAATCTTTTTTTGGTGACTTCTCTGAGGCCCCCTCCCCCCATTTTCCCTTTAATCTCTCTTTTTAACACTGTAACTGATTATGTGAACTAGTGTCAATAAACAAAAAAATGATGACGTTTGTCAGAAGAAAAGGGACTTGGGAATTTCTTTAGAACAAACAGGTGCTGAACTGCCGTGCCCCTCACACACCCACCTATATACCCTCCGCCTGCTCGTCACATGGATCCCACCAGTGTTTTGTGTTGTGGTAGTTAGTCTGTAGCGTAGCCTGTTTGTCTTTTTCAGTGTTGTACTTGATTCCACTCCGTTTATTGTTTTGTAGCTTCAGTTTGTTTTTTTGTGGTAGTTTCTTAGTGGTCTTCTGTATGGTTGTCAGTGTTGTTATAGCATCCCCCCCACACACAGACTTGCACTCATTGGTTGCCATGGTTTTATCCATGATTCAGTTTGGTGTATAGAAGTGGACTCTGTGGAAACTTTGCACCTGGGCAAGTATACAGTCACGACTTAGTACCATGTAGTTAACATCTGTAGTGTTTCTCACATTAGTGAGAAGTAGACTTATCTTTTTACCCTTTCCCTTTTTTAAAATCATAAATGGTTGTAAATTTAATGGCACTGATCAGTCTTGTACTGTCCTTCTGGTGTTTATGTAGACAAATTGAAGCAAAAGATAGCTTGCTGATAAACTATGAAATATGCAGAAATGTTCAAAGCCCTCCACTATGCACACCATCATTCTTCCCCTTAATTTGCCTATGTAATGCCTTGATATAACCTTTATTAATGGTTGGCTCCTTACTAACAGTCTGTTTTTCTTCTCTCCATCCCTTCTAGCTATGCTTTAATCATATTCACATTCATATAAGTGAATGCAAATAGAATAGAGTCAGTGGACAGTAGCATTTCGTCCTAAAGTATGATCTAAATGAGAGGTGCTCATTTAGACCATACTTTAGAACTGATTGTGTAGAATTATCCAGTGTTGAAATTCATTGCCAATCATCTTGTTTTATGTTTAATTGAGTTATTTGGAGACAATATTATTGAACAATTCTTCTTCTTCTTGTTAAATATGTTTTTAGGTGCACAGTGCAGTGAGCCTGGAAACCTTTTGCTTCACTGCTGTGTCTGGCAGAATAAATAATTCTGTCATGATTAAATGTTCTATTAAATGATAAGAAATACAAATACAAGTTGGCAGTGCATTTCATTGTAGAAGCTGAATTTCTCTTTGTATCAAATTTAACACTGTCCCTTATCTTCTCTTGTCATCTTCTCTTACTCTTTGTTCTATTCCTAACCTCCGCTTCTCCCCCCTTTCTATATTCTTCTTTTCTTCTCGCCCCTCAGGAAGTCCGGGTTCAGAGAAGTCTTCGTTGGGAGGTCCTCATGTAGCAGTTAATGGGAACGGCTCTGTGAATGGGCAGAGAATGGGAAGGACTGGGGTCCTGGGTGCTGAACAGAGTGCTGAAATCCAGCCGTTATCCCCACTTACCAGCCCGCTGCTTACCGAAGCGGGATATGTTCGCAACGATGAGGAAGACGAGGCGAGGAGGAAGGTGGGTATACAGAGAGTAAGAAGGAGGATGGGGAAATTTCTTGTAGTCACTGAATTGGCCCCCAGAAGGACTTCAAAGGAATTTAGTCTGGACTAAGAAGTTGTGAACACCCAAGTCTTTCAGTACTTGGAAAAAACAATGCTGTGACGCAGACAAATGTGCAAAGCCTTTAGCCACTCCTCTTTTCTTTATATTTTGATTCAAGCAGCCAGAGATTCTTGTAATTTTTGTAAGTGTGCTTGAGCAATAGTTTTCCAGGCTTTCTTAAGTCCTTTCAAAAGTCTTGGTGACTTTTTCACTCATTTCAATCCAGTTCTTTCGCCTGACCATTTTCATAGGAATGATTTGTTTGTTAACACTGACCTATGAATCACTGAAGCATTAATATGGTCAAATCAAGTTATGACCCTGTGTTGTGTTTACACAAAACAGACAGGAAAAAAAACACGAAGTAACAAAGAACTTGTTTTGTTGGTACAGCCTGTCACATATACACATGGAGATATGAGGAAACTGGACAAGTAGTGGACAAAATAAGAAGTGGCATACCTGAAAAAAACAAACCAAGACCTTGTTGCAGATGAACTATATCTGAAAGTCTTGTCCTTAAGAAACAGGAAAACTAAAGCAAAGACCTGACTCAGGACCTGAGAGATGCATCTGGACCCAAAGGTCGATTCATCGACTGTTCACTGAAACCTCATCAGAAATGGTCTCAGTGAAAGACTGGCTGTCAAGAAGCCAATCTTAAGGAAAGAAAGGGGTGGGGGGGTGGGGGTAGGAGTGCTGAGGTATTCCACATTACAGAAGAACTGGAATGAAAAACAGTGACATCAGGTCTGAAGGAGTGACAAATCCAAATGTGAAAGTTTTCATTCAAATCATTGTCGGTATGTATGGAGGAAGTCATTAGTGTGCTGTGAGTGTCCACAGCAGGGGTCTCAAACTTAAATGAGCTGTGGGCCACTGCTGGCACTGTCATCTCATTGGAGGGCCGCTTCAGTGTTCAAGTAATACAAATATTGTATAACAATACAAAACTGCAAATTTGTTTTCTCACTCTTAACTAACAGAAGTCTTTCATTGAACTACCAAATAAACAAATTGGTTCTCTCTTTCTGACCAGACATGTGGCAGCACTTCTGCTATAATTTTGTTTATATTAAAAAAAAAAATGCAGACGTAAGTGTGCACATTAGTTTTTGACTGCTAGTGAAAAATGTTTCACTAGCAGCATTTTTTTTGGCTTTTTAAAGAACTTATTTTAACATTGGACTCAACAACAAACAAATCCTCCCTAACAAAAAAGTAACTTCAAGGGCCAAATAAATGAATCAATGCAGCTATTTCCAATTTTTCTAGCAAAATGCAAAGAAATAAGGTTGGCTGAAGACTTTTGCACGTTACTGTAATTTGGTGAGACAAAGAAATTATTAATTGGGGGAATTCATCCAAATTAATAACAAGAACTGAACTGCTGGTCTTTCGCAACATAAAATGTGCAGACTTCTTTCTGTAGAAGATGAGATAAAAATATATATAAACAGATTGATTTGCTTCTTTTTGTTTCTGTCTAGAAGTTTCCCACAGACAAGGCTTACTTTATAGCCAAGGAACTATTGACCACAGAGCGGACCTACCTCAATGACCTGCAGGTTATCACAGAGGTAAAGATAGTGGTGCCTCTTTGTCTCCATGTATTGTCCAGTCTCTTGTGTCCAATCTGTTATCTCTTCCCTTCACACTGTGAGACCAATACCATCTGGATTAGACTGAAAGTGGCAGGACCAAGAGCCAGTGTGGTCCAAAAGCATACCGTTAGCCAAGGCTGGTTTCTTTAGAGCCTTAGTACTGGAATAATGAGTCAAAACTGTTGGTTTAGAAGTCTAATTTTGGGACAGTGTACCAAAATTAATCTTTTTAAAAGCTCATGTGCTGGAACAGTGAGTCAGGGTTGGTTTGCACCGCACAACGTGCTGAATTCGAGATGCAAGCGTTGGTGTTTTTTACAGCTATATATTAGAAAAAGAGGCCCCAAAGGGAAAGTAAAGGCTCAAGTCTGAACCAAACTCACAAATCTCACAGTGTTTGTTCTCAGTAATGCAACATTAATATTACATTAGTTCCAGCACACAGTTCCAGTCTTACTTCTCTTTTTTTATTCACATCCCAGAAAAAGGCTTTTATGTGCCTTTAGTTTGGCCCCCGACTGAAGGCTGAAGTTTATGAGCACTTTTCTCATGCAGGACAGAGATGAAAATGCATTCAGTGCAGTGCATATGCTACAACTCTCTTCCTTGTAAGTGAGCAGACTTGTATCTTTTTGCTGTTACATAGCTTGGACAGACTAATTAGCTTCAGGCTCTTTTAGTTTACAAGTAAAACCGCTGAAGTCAAGACAGAAAAAAAAACCACTCTGCATTTATAAAAACAGCGTCTGGGATGAAAGTGCAGCTTAATGTGGGTCAGACTCAGTCTTTGCTTTTATATGACTCACTTTTACTGTCTGTCGCAACTGCTTTCGAGAAAAGAAAAAAAAAGGAAATGTGATAGGCGGGGTTATGATGAGTAAAGACCACCAATGCAGAAACACAGGTTCAGCACCTGCTTGCTAAAGACCTGTCTCCTTAATACTGAGACACTGACGGTGACCTCTGACCTCGCTGTGGATTGGAAAACGCCTCTGTTCCTACTTTTTCCTTTCTCAGCTGTTTTTCTTCACAGTAGTAGTTTCCAGCCTCTTTGATGTGGAAAGAAGGCATGCGCGGGTGCTTTTTTAAAACCTCTTAAACATTTTCCTTTGCTGGTACAGCTCACGCCTGGGATCCCACACCCACCCATCTTTTTCTCTTCTTTTTTCTTTTTTCTTTTTTAAATCTCGTGTCACTCGTGTTCTTTCCGAGCGAGTCTGTCTGTGAAACTGCTGGACTGCCGCCTGTCTGCTCGAGCTCTCAGATCCTGTGTGATTTACTACAGCGGGGAATATAACACCTCTGTGTCAGGGGTCGTGGTGCGCTCACACGGGGCCCTGAGCACATTTATGTGTGTCTGATGGATTTCTGTTATCATGTCCAATCCCTCATCCTGGATCCTACTAGTAATGTGTGGGACCTCATACTGGATGTGTCCCTTCCAATCTCTGCCAGTAATCTGGGGGAGTTGTGGATGAGTAGGAGTTACATTCTCATTATTTTTATTCCTTCTGAATGTTTTGTTCACTTACTTGTGAGGAGCAGAAAAGGCACTCATTATGTGCCAAAGTATCCAATATGGAAATACAATTTAAAAAATATATGTATATAGTAAAAGATAAAATGTGATCTGCATTTTCTTCTTTTTCCACATGTCCACATTGTTTGTCAATTTTCTAGTCCTTCCACAGCGCTGTGGGGAAAGACGAGGCTTTCCCAGACTCTGTTAAGAGCCTGATCTCTGCCAACTATGATCCGGTGTACAAGTTTCATCAGGGATTCCTCAAAGAGACAGAGCAGCGGCTGGCGCAGTGGTCAGTGTCCATCTGTTTCCATTCAGAAAAGTTTTTTTTGTTTTTCAGAAATTTACAGATGAGGTTTAAAATTATTTATTTTTACTGTATGTTTATTATGTTTAAAAAAGGGCTTGAATTAAAGTTGTATTTGTTTTTTTCATTTTCAGCTTTATACGGTAATTTTATTCAGCCTACTCTGGAAAAGTAGCTTTGCATGATCCACGGTTCAAAAATAATCTGCATTTATCTTAACCTGGGGCTGGCTCTGACTGAAAGAAGGTGTTTTAACTCCTCTCCCCCTACTTTCATATGATTGGCTGCCCCTCTTAGACTGAACAGAGGAGGTGGGTGGGGCTTCTGTGCTCACAGACAGCGCATCCACACTGGAAATGATTCGCAGTGATGTGGTGACCACAGAAAGCGAATAAGTTTCTATTATTTCAGATGACTACATGTTTAATAACCGCTGGTGACGGGAAGCAGGCGAGACCCAAAACTAACTTTGTCAACTTCTACATGACTGACTGAAGCCACTACCAATCAGAATGAAGAAGACTATTAAAAATGACATATGAATCTTATCGTAAAGGCAATCAGAGCCTGCAATGTCATCAAGCAACTGGCCTTCAGCTTCAAAATGATGCAAAACAAGCGAACCATCTCCGGTGCGAACACAGCTTCAGTCTTGGCTCTGTATGATATCATCTACATCCAAGAGTGGAAAAGGCTGTCTCAAACAGAGCATTGGGCTCATAGGGTTTAGTAATCCTTATTTAAACAACAGTATGTATACAACATTATATAAGGTAAAGAATAATAGGCCCCATTTTTAACAGAGGAAAAAGAATAAAAATAGAAAAATGTTACAAACTAAAAATGGTCACAAATTAATTCCTTCCTATTTTTATGTTTAATTCAAATGTGTAGAACATTTTCCACAGTGCAATTAAGCAGGATTAGTGCATGTAATCAAAACAAGTCCAAAAAAATGGGAAGCATTTTAACACCAGATTAATCTTGGTGCTGATGTAGGATCAGGAAAAATGAATCCCTTCTGCTGTAGTTCGTCTCTGTGTGCTGCTTTGTTTCCAAGCAGTTCTAGTCATGTTTCATAGTCATATTCAGCCTAGATTTTCTTTTAGTAACCCAAGGAATTATTTGAACTGATTACATTTTCATTTTCCTTAATCTGAGATGGCTAAATGGCTTTGTTGGAAATTTTTTCCTTCACTTGACATAATGTGGTATGAAAAAGTCTGTGTTCGTGCAAATACCTGAAATTCCTCACTTTCCCTGCTGTCGGAATCTGTTTTGTGTTATCTCTGTAATGACAGGCAGGAGCACACATACACACTCACACACACTTAAACACACTGGTGAGATGAATGAGTCTGTGGGAGTTGAATGAAGACTTTTCCACACTTGTGTAAGATGTTTTGAGCTGACACCTACTGGTGAATCTGTGCTCCTGCACATTAACGCACGTCTTAATCTCTCTTCAGGGAGGGCCGATCTAACGCCCACATTAAAGGAGACTATCAGCGAATTGGTGACGTTTTACTCAAGAACATTCAGGGTCTCAGGGTAAATCTCCATACTTGACTCTGGATCATTAATTTCATAAAATAAGGTGCATTTTAATTTTTAACTTTTAATTTCTGTCTCTTATCTTGGTTTCATCTCTTTCCGCATCTGCAGCAGTTGACGATTCATCTCCAGAAACATTCAGAGTGCCTGGTAGAACTGGAGCGGGCCTGTCGGTGGGTGGCAAAACAGTGAGCATGCAGACAAGTTGTTCAAATCAAAACAGGATGCCCTAAAGAGAAACTTCATCCCTGTGACTATCAGGTCCAGTCGGAAGGTGGAGACTTTATGTCGAGACTTCGAGCAGCAACGGGTTTGCTACCTGCCCCTCAACATCTTCCTCCTCAGGCCTCTTCACCGCCTGCTGCACTACAAACTTATCCTGGAGAGGCTCTGCAAGCACTACCCGCCCACACATGATGACTTCAGGGACTGTAGAGGTACACAGTCCCCCACACCTACCCTTTCCGCTCATGTGTGTATTTTCTTTCTATATATGAAAATAAATCTGTCTCCTCCAGCTGCCCTGGCGGACATCTCGGAGATGGTGTTGCAGCTTCAGGGAATCATGATGAAGATGGAGAACTTCCAGAAGCTTATAGAACTGAAGAAGGATCTGACCGGCGTCGAAGACCTCATCAGCCCCGGAAGGGTGCGGCTCTTTAATAATTCAGCTAGTCTAGATTCATCCTGGACATTTGTAGAGTTTTCACTTCCTTGCTCTGCCGTCCTGTTGTCAAATTGTCGGTGTGATTCTGTTTCACTTACAGGAGTTCATCAGGCTCGGTTGCCTCAGCAAACTCTCTGGAAAGGGCCTTCAGCAGAGGATGTTCTTCCTGGTGAGACTTTATGCTGGTTTCTACTAAAAAAACAAAGCATCTATAATACCTCTAAACAAAGCTCTTCACTCTTTTTTTTTCTTTCCAGTTTAGTGATTGTTTGGTGTACACCAGTCGAGGCATGACTCCATCCAACCAGTTTAAGGTTCACGGCCAGCTGCCTCTCTATGGCATGACGGTACATAATCAAAACACACACGCACACACACAAAACACACTTATCTTATCTTATCAAAGCAGTTTCTTTTCCTTACGAAAGATTTTTCAGATTTTTAAATTGTTTTGTTTTCCATCTGGCTCATTCTATGGAAATGTTACATTTTAGGGTTACAAGTTGTTTATCCCACTGACACGTCTTCCGAGGAGGAAGCAGAGTCTGGGGATGAGGGGA